TAATAATAATAATGTAGAGTTAATTCAAATTTGTGGAGATTTTCCAAGAGATTTCTATTATAAAGCACACAGAAATAATTTGTCAGCTTCTTCTTCTAGGGATCCTAGAATTAGAATGCTCACAGCTTTTTTTTTTTCAATACACACTGAGCACTTCTCAGCTCAAATGTTGTGACAAAAGTTAAAATCTATAAGTGTTTCATAACATTAGGAAATCTGAAACACTGCTTAACACCATGTCCTTCTGAAGCCAATCAAATTTGTTCTCCACCCACTTCTGGATCATCTCCAATAAACTGGATGAGTGTGCACTGTTCACTTAACGTCCAAGACCAGAACTGGCCAAAAACATAACCAGGAACTCCAGATCAAGGTAAAAGATCTCTTGGGAATTTGGGGCACCCCCTTTCCCCCAAGCTTTGCAAAGTGGAGGGGCTGGTTGGGGTGGCCAGGAGCAGCCTTGAGCATGAGAACCTCTGGTTTCTCTCCTTGGGAAGGGCATTGTGCAAGACTGCACAACAATGCATGGGGGTTCAATGCTGCTTTTAGGGCCTGTAGTTCCCATAACATCCCTGCCAGCATAGCCACTGGGGGACTCCAGGAGTTTTAGTCTGAAACCTTTCCCCATTTTGCTTGGGTTATTTCTTTGGCTGGGATTTCAAACCCCCACTGTGCCTCCTGCAAGCAGAACTAGTTTGTATGGCTTTGGGCAGTCTCAGGATATGGTTAAAACACTTCTGAATATTCTCAATCTGGAAAACCCTGGAAAGGGTGGCTGCAAGTCAGAATTTACGTGATGGCACATGATTATGATTTCTTTGGAAGAAAGCCTGGTCCAGTACTTATGCTTCTGTTTTCCCAAGTTCAGGATGCCACTCCATTTTCATTTTCCTTGGAGTAAACCCTACTGATCTCAGTAGGATTTATTTAGGAGTAGGATTTTATATAGGTTTTGGAAGGGGGGATTTTCCCCCCCTTCTAAAACAGAAAATGGCCACAGAAGTTAAAACTGAAAAGACAAACAAGCATTCTTGATTCTTTTCCAGGTTGTTGGGTTTTTTTTTAACTTAAAGGGGAAAATAAATAGATTTCTGGCTGCTCATTTGCTTTGCTTCGGGTTTTCTGTTACAAGGCATTCACTCCCCATCAATGGGGGAGGGCAGCAGAAGAAAAGACGGGGGGGGGCTTTTGTGATTCTGTTTCATAATCCCAAATTCATTTGCCACCGCTTCCAGCTGAGACTTCACTTAAAACCTCCTCTCAACAAAATTCCAGCCTTCCTACTCCTCTCGAAATAAAGTTCCTGGAATTGCCCCAAAACAGAAAAAAATTGTTCCTAATTATTTTCATATCCTCAGTTTCCGCTTTAATGCTACAGAAGCAGAGTCTCTATGCTTTGGGAGAGGGGGCTGCTGTCGTTCAACTTACAGTATTTTGGGACAGAACTGTTGACTTATTGCTTACAGTTCAGGAACCCACATAAATCTTCCCCCCTCCTTGGCCAGGATGAAGCCAGAAGGTGAACAAGGACGGCCCCCGTTGATCTCCGTTAAGGGAGTTCCCATGATCAAGACCTTCGCCGATATTATGGGCGAGGTTGAGGTTTTCCAAGCGCATCCTGGTGACTTGCTGATCTCGACATATCCCAAATCTGGTGAGTGAGGCTTCGGATGGCATTCTCACATGTCAAGGGGAAGCGTGTTAGGCACTTGTATGCGGGTATCTTCCAATTTTTTTCCCTTCTCCCCCACTCATAAATTCCAGCAGAGTTTAAACAGGGCCAGCTTCCTTTGAGAAAAGACTTGCAATAAACACCTGTTCTTCTTCTTTTGTTCTGTTGCAAGAAGAAAAATAGCAATGGAATTTTATTTTATTGCAACTGCTTTCATGCAAAATTATTTCCATTTAGCATGACTTCAGTCTGTTCTCTGTACTATTGTTCTTACACTATAAGATGTTTTTGAAAAACTTGTTCTGAGAGGAGGCTATGAAGCGGATTAAAAGGATAAATAAGGAGTCTCGTGGTACCTGTAAGACTCCAAAAACTTTTGTTTTTTTTAAAAAATAATGCATTGTTCATTTCTCTTATGAATATATGTACACATCTCTCTCATTCCCTCCCCGCACAATGCAGCATACATTCAGATCCATATATGTGCCCCCCACATGCATATCAGAGAATGGCCACAGAAAACAGAGAGCAAAAGCAGAAGCCTTAAGTTACCCACTGTGATGCTTTATTGCTGTGAGAGTGTCTTCAGACTGAACCGTCACAGCTTCTTTTTGAGAGGGAATTCATCATCATCATCATCTCCAAACTGCAGAGCTGGAAGGGACCCTATGGATCATTGAGTCCAGCCCCTATCACAGTGGGGGAATTGAACTCCCAACTTCTGGTTATGCAGCCAGATACCAGAACCACTCAGCTTTCTATGTCTTGGAAGGAGACTCCCATTAATACATTAATATATAGGTTTTGTCTTCTGGTTGGGACAGGAGGCTGTGGTTTTGAACAAGGAACTGTGGGGTTTGGAAGGAAAAGGTGCCCAAGTCACTCTCCACTGGATAATTTTCCTCTCTCCCCTCCAAGCTCAGTTCTCTTTCTCCCCCCCCCCCACCTCTCCCTCATCCCACTTCATTCATCTTCAGGGACATCTAGTCCACAGGGAGAAAAACAAGCTGAATAGGTGGTTTTGTACAGAATCCTGGCCAGGTGGGGCACTGGAATGGTTAAGCTGTTTTCCTATTGAAAAGGGTTACCTTGCAAGGCTGCTTTCTGTCTTAAAACAAACAAATCGCCTGTCAAGACTTCAATTCCTCTTCTAATGTATATCTTGCTCATGCCTCAAGCAACTCTTTACAAGAACAATTTCCCCAACCTTCCTGGAGCAGCACCTTAAGAGTTACATAATAAAGGCCTCGCCTCCCGGAGTCTTCCCACAAGGAGAACCCTATATTAAATTTCCTTTTTTGTCATATCCATAGCCAGAAATGTGACAGCGAGGCAGCCGGCCTGGTAGTGGTGCCAGGCCCCACAGCCTAAAAGCATCTGCACTTTTGGTTTTGCAGGAACAACGGCATCCTCTTCTCCCTCCCTGTTCCTCTCAGCATTACTGCAGTCCATATAATAGTTTGATATGAACATACAGTACTCACACCAGGATAGTAGTAAGCGGGGCAAGTATGGTCTCTGCCGTTACAACACACAAACAACAACTTTTATACCCTGACACATATTTTCCCTCTCTATTGCTCTGACCAATCCGGTCACGGCAGAGGGCTCACATTCTGCCTATCACGCGATGCCAACACAACTTAGGCCCTTGTTAGTCTAAACTGCCTATCCTCCATTTTGTAAAATCCTCCATTTTGTAAAAGCTTATTTATTACTATATTGTGAACTTAGAACTTTATAAACTACAGTTTTATATCAAGTCCCTCATTTTTTTATATATAAAAAAACTTCTAATGTTCACATTTAATAATCATACTAATTGTCTCTTTTTCCCTAATTAAAGGAGCCATCATTTCTTGCTGTCTTGTCTTAGTTTTCCTTATACATGGCATCCCTAAAGAGACGCATTGCACACAACAACAAACTACTATTCCTATAACTACTATAAAGATAAAGAACACAAAAATCCTTTTAAGCCATGAGAAATCAGGTAGCCATGAATTCTCCAGCCACTGAATAAGTTTTTCACACACTGGCAGCAATATCTTGTAGTTTACTAATACTGTATCTAATTCAACCTGGCCACTTTGATTTATATAATGGCAACATGTGGTATTAAACAAAAAACACAAACCCCCCCTTCTCTGCTAAGGAGGTAATCTAAAGCCATTTTGTGTTGCATTAGCATCCCAGCAAGTGACTATTTCTGTTTGCAAGGCCTTTATGCCTTTGGCAGTTAGATTTGCTAAGGCTTCTACTTGATAGGACAATTTCCTGAGTTCTTTAATATTTACAGCAACTCCCACTTGTGGCCACATAATTGCTCCCCACCTTTGCCATTCCGTTAAGTATATATCCACTGGATCGTACCCCAGATTGTCATAATAACTTATTTTTCTTTTACTCCATCTAAAGTGAGAATCCCACACAGTTTTAGGTTGATCTTTCATGTGAAACTGTATTCCCCCTGGGGCTATGGTACCAACTGTACATGTTCTATTCCAGACAGGTGGTAATACGCTACCAGCCCAATGTCCACATATCCACACTAAGCCTGATGGTAATCCATACAAACTCATTCCAGTATGCATTTCCGCCTGTAATTGCATAGCTATTATAGGTAAGTTTCCATCCTCACTTTCATTAAGTACCGTCATGCAATTACTTCATCTTATTGATAGATTTTAGAATGTTGTATTTAAAGTGGTATTGCATGGATTTCCACTAATAAAAAACTGGAATAGCCAACTTGCAGACAGGATAATCTCCTACATTAATTCTTTTTATCGGAGATTTCGTAGTTTTCTTATTTTTGGTAATAGTGGAATACCCATTCTTAGTGTTATTGTGCCATTGAAAGCATATAGATGCTAAAGGCCATGTACTTTTTCTTGCTAACATGAATTGCACCGGATCTATTTCTTTTTTGTCCTCATATATTTTGAATTTAAACCAGCCTGCAACATCTAGGGTAGCAGTAAGTATAATTGGCCACCCTTGTAAACCAGATGCTGGACCATGCGGGCACACCCAACAATCAGTAGCGTTTACTGTTCTGCTTAAGTTTTGTATTAGCTGATGAAAAATATTCTCTTGCCACCCTGCCTCAGTTTTTATTAGTACCACTCCTACCATTCCCCAAATCATCCAATTGCACAAGAGTCTCATAGTACCCAGAAACATACGTGGATATAAACAACAGACCACTATTCCCACTGCAATTACTACCAAAACTGGTAGCCAGTACTGCCACCCCTCCAACATGTATCTTACAGGCAACTCATTGACTTCACACACTGTCTTCTCAGTCTTAGTTTAAGAGGTTCCCGAGAATCCGATTCACACTTCCATCGACTGGTTTCTTCCTCGAGAGCTGATACCAACTTGGTTCTGGTGTGGTGAGTCCACCCTCCTTCTGCTGTTCTGATAGGTCTCGGTGGTCAGTAGTACCAGATAGGTACTACTAGAGACCTGCTCTGGACTGAGATGAAAGTGTTAGAATGTTTTTGAAGGCTCACAGCAGCCATGAGTTGTTGTGTTTTTTTTAAGAATCAGCTGTTATCTGCTGCTTTGGTTTTGTTTTCTAATTTTTTTATAACATTCTCTGGCTGTGTAGCTATGGATGTTCTGTCCTGAGGCACAGCAGGAATTTACTACAAAAATTGAGAGTGAATTAGCCGTTAGGCTTACATGAGCCTGTCCGATTTCTCCTCTCTTGTTATCTTGGGATTTTTCTCTATCCAGGCAGATAAAGCCACAGCTAATGCTTTCTTTAATGTAAATTTTAAAAAGCCTTCAATTTGACATCTGCTCTCAATAAAACTTGAACAGTAAGTAATAAACTACCCAGAAAGCAAATATTTAATGTAGCAGAAGGTTGAAGCAGATTGTGTTAAAAGAAAAGGAATGGGCAAGGTGAAAATATCATAACTGGCCATAGAATCTTTGAAAATACAGATAATTAGTCTGGAGGCAGGGGGATATTCCAAAAATTATATTACAACAATATTTACTTGTCACCCCATAGTTGAACCCTGACTTGGTGCAATTGTTGCTGTTGTACCCTTTCAGGAACCACCTGGATCAGCGAAGTCATTGACCTGATCTATAAAGAAGGCAACACGGAAAAATGCAGACAAGAACCCATCTATATGCGTGTTCCTTTCTTGGAGTTTTCTGTTCCTGAA